CTAAGGGGTACAAACTACTTTGCTTATCCTCTAGCCTTTAAGGTTAAACCCACGTGCTTAATACTTGACACTTTGAATTTGTTTCAGCTTCCCTCAAAACAGGGACACGCGATGTTTGCAGTAGGAAAAGCAGTCACTATCCACAGCTCTCAAAAAAATAAGTAATTACTTTCTGTGTCTTCGTACGGTACTCTACACTTTAACTGATGAAACTTGTTTCTTTATTGATACAGTTCATAAAGGGTTTAAAAAAAAAGAAAAAAATAGTGTTCTTTTCTAATGTCCGAGACATACAATGGCAAAAGCGTGAATCTATTTCAGAGAGCTTGTGTAGTTACGACCGCTTTGTACATTTAGTCCACAGTAGGGTGTGGAGGACGAACAAATCTGTCATCCTCTGGTTTTCTGTTTTCTTCCTGGTCCATGTCAGTGTTTAGCTCTCGCTGTCTCTTGCGCCTGTCTACAGGTCTCTGGTGGCGGCTCAGGCTAGGTACTCCTTCGTAACGCTACGTACGACCTTCCACCAAAATGGTTACTGCGTGCTTGACTTGTCCGTTGGTAAATGCCGTGCTTTGCATTGTGCTCTTTCCTATAGAACTGCGAACACAGCACAGCCCCACTGTAATGCAAGTCGCTTTCCACTGCCGTTTAAGGTGCGGTTACAAACATCACTGCCACGAGGTCTGTATTATTTAAATTCAATATTCCATGTAGTAATCAAAGGAAAAAGAAACAACCTTGCAGATACAGAGGATGAAAAGCAGAATGTCTTCGCTATTTCATGACAAACTTTTGACACTTTGTATGTGTGTGTGTGTGTTTGGTTTGGTAACAAGTCTAACCTGTATATTATTGTTATGATTAAATGTTACAAACTTCTACAGCATGCAGAGAGGTCGAAGACAATGCTGTAGATTATACTTTCGTACGCTCAAGATTATTTGTTTAGTATATGTTAGATTAATAAGCACCCACTTATACCATAATGTAACCCATTATGAAAGCATCTTAAATTAATATTTGTAAGTGCACGTGCGTAGTATGCTAACGTAATAATTATTAGGGTTATAATTACTAGGCAACTTCTCATGCGCTAGTATTGGGCTGGTTATGTTTTGGTGCAAATTAATTTCGTTTTCCAGCCAAACCCCAGGGGTTGGCGGGTTGCCTACCAACCAGGGGCAAATGTCATATATGGTACTTCCTTATAAGAGATATCCCAAGTGTTCATTTGCGAAAGTGAACATTTTTCAACCCCCCTTCTGTGTCATAGAAGTTTGTGTCATTTTTACTGAACCATTGGGCATACGTGTACGCAATCATTTGTAACTGCGATTGTTATCTACATGTAGAACTACTCTTATTATAAACACTCGGCTGTCTGGTGGCATGTCAACTCAAGAATTTAGTTTTAGTGTATAGTCTCTCGTCTAGTTAGGTTTTTGCAGCGGCCAAATGAAGCGACAGTATACAATGTATATAATACTGCCTTAACCCCTTTTGTGACTTGAGAGTACTATTGCATCATATAAAAGAATATTCATATCAGTTTCCAATTCCAATCATCCATCCTTTTGAAAAGTCACTCCCACCATTTTTCCATATAACAATTACCCTCAGATTTTTAGAATACTTAACAGTTTATGAGTAAATACGAAGCATCTATATATGTAAATGTTACCGTCGCGTCGGATGTTCAAAGTCAAACCATTCCTTTGTATTTGTCAGTACCATATGTGGCGAATAAAAGAATTCGCTCCCGAGTGTTAGAAAATATATTCAAAATTGTATGTGGTACCAAACTAATTATAAGCAAGTTGCAACTGTGAGAAAGGGAATATAGTGAAGTGAAAATAGTTTGAGAGGGGACCCAACTTCACAAGGTTTCTGCCAACCAAAGTTCGGAGTACGGAATTCCATCCTAAATACGGGTAATGGATCATCCAAAACTACGCGCGGCAATGGTGTAGCGTACCGGACTGTTGTACCCAAGTTAGCGGGTTCAAACCCGATCGAAGCCGTGGATTTTTAAGGGCGAAAAATCCTTCGGAGGGGAAGTAAAGCCGGCTGTCCCATGTTAGTAGATTTACTTGCATGTAAAAGATCCTGAAACCTAAATGACGCCTCTGAGCTAAATTCAAATCGCCTGTTTCTCGTCCAAGAAATGCCTCCTTTCTCTGCTAGTTGGTGGAAGGAGCGTAGCGAAATTTGCGTGGTCAGACGGAAGAGCAGCCACAGGCATTAATTCAGTTCAATTCAAAACTACATTCGTACACTACACGAGAAACAATTCGTTTCCTGTAAGTCACTAACATCATGATTTCAAACGCCTCGTTTGTGAGTTATGATCGATGACGTGTAGGAACGTGCCAGGTGTTGCTTTTTGTATTCACGCCTGCTATTTTTCTTTAACCATAATCTGCTAATATCAAAATTGTTCATTGTTGAAATGTTAAATTATTTTGCTACTAAAAATAATGGTTTTCTGCATAATATGTTAATCTATATGCAACAAGTATTGTAATATAATTCAGAGGCCAGTGAACCCCATCTCGGTCAGGTTTTTGTCCAGATACCCTGGCCCTTTGAACAAATGTTAAGATTAATTGTTTTTCTTCTGAACAGTTTTTTTGCGCTCAAGGTGTACGCAATTGCACTCCATTCACATACGTAATATTTGACTTGTTATACACGATTGAAATTGTATATGTAGCCCTATTATTATTATTATTATTATTATTATTATTATTATTATTATTATTATTGTTTTCATTACTTGCGTATCGGCCATTTTAACCACGCTACACGATTTAACGTGTGTAACTAGGGGGATGAGGTTTCTGTCCATATCCCTCGATAAGACAAGGTTGTTACACCTTTGTGAATTATGAGGTGATAGGAGATGGGATGATGAGGGGTGAAGGGACAATCACAAATACGACCGTCTCTAAGCAGGACTCGAACCTCCAGCCTTCCTGGCGCAGTCGCCTACCCAATGCGGCCAGCTATATTATTTATTATTATTATTATTATTATTATTATCATCATCATTATTCGTAATTCCTTGTAGGGTATACACGTTTCTTAGTGTGTGTGACTTATAAGCGGTATAAAATAATTCCTTAGCATATTTCGTTTACAGGGGATAAAGAGGTTTTTAGAGAGGTAAAGTAGTATTAATTTTAGTTCGCACGCCAAGTTTTTACTTCTGGGTTCTTTCCATGGTTCAGTCTGATCCGATGTCTTTTGTGCCGAAGATTTAGATATCAAAGCAAGCCCCCTCTAAACAATCTACAACACCTCCATCAGCAAATGTAAATTGAACTCGTAATATTATGCAATATGATATAGATTAATAAAAGTGTGTGATATTTCTTCAGTTTGCTCAAACTACCAGTAAGCGTACTAGCGGGTTATGGCCTAAGGAATTTCTTAGCCGCATTTTATGTAGCTTGGCAACTCCTGCCTCGGCGAAGGCCGTGATGCCGACGTTTTCAGTGCCATTCTGAAGAGCTCATGGCCTCGCACTTTAGCCTTAATTAACACCACGACAAGATGGCCGAAACGTAGGCAGCGCGGCTTTAGACAATCTCCATTGATTTGAAACTGTGGGAGCAAAGTGAGACAACTTGGCCGCAAAAGTATTTTGTTAATAAAAAATGGATTTGAATTGCGGTTTCTAGAACCAAGGATTTTTGGTGACCCTTATTTTTCCAATGTCAAAATTACTTGCTGCACAAAAAATGTTGAGCATCTTAAACAGGAATGTCCAAACTAAAGTAAATATTAACCCTTTTATTGTTCATTTCCGAGAGCCCAGAAAAGTCAACAGTTCAGCAAGATGTGCTGTGTGATTTTAAAGAGTGTAAATAGTCTTTCTCTGAATGGTCTTACATGAACTTGGGCATGATGTGATCTAAGCATCTGTTTATAATTACAAATGTTAAGCCAAATGCTCAAGTGAAAGTTCCTTTTTTATAACAAGTGACAACCTGTACATCAACACAATCAGTGAATATATTTGTTCTGGAGTGCCACGTTGTACTTGCCACCCTCTGTTCAATCTTGTGACCTAACTGCATGAAACAAGAAAAGGAGAGTCATATATTGGAAGAGCTTGTGTTCTGGTAAAGTAGGTTTCTGTGTTCCTCTTTAAAGCTTGAATTTTTTGATTGATTTCTGCACTCAAGGAATCATTGCAAGGTGTTGATCTTCTGGGACCAGCCTCATGTTGTTTAATGTAATTCGCTACTAAATTAATCTTTCAAATGAAAATGCATTGTGAATTGTCCACATCTTATACAAGAGATATCTCTTATTAGTGATAAGTAAATAGATAAGTGCAAATTTTCTTGTTTTGTTATTACTTCATTAATGGATAGTATGATTGAAGTGTGTAAATCTATGATGACCAAGATTCTATGATGATCTATGATGACCAAGACCAATCTGGCTAGAATTTCATCTATGATGACCAAGACCAATCTGGCTAGAATTTCAGTTTTTGTTGGCAATACGCTGGAAGTGTTAAAGCTTATGCATGGATACTCCAATAAATATGTAAGAAATGTACTTGATAGCATTAAGGATTTTTGTTGCTTCATTACATGAATTCTTGTTTCATGAGAAATGTTGTAAAAGACCACCTCCAGATTAGACTAATGCCCTCATTCTGTGAATAGAAATGTTTTGCCTCGCATCTACTTGTTCATGTTGGTATCCGGCTGGCAAGTATTTGTCCAGGAGCTCTCCAAGTTCGTCATTCAGAGAAAGACAATTTATACTGTTTAAAATCACATGGCACATCTGCAAAGAAATAAAGTGAGAAGTGTTGATTTTTCTTGGATCTTTGCAGTAAGTTTACTTCTTTTACATGAACTTACCTGATTTGAATTGATTTTTTGCCTTGTGGTACTTCCCAGGAAATATGAAGAAAACTATTCAATCTGTTTGTACTCTGAACATATCTAACTGAAACTTCTTGTTTCCATGAATTCCAGGTTATGATTCATCTGGGGATACTTTCTTGATGAACCAAATGGCAGACCAGAACACTTCCTCAGGTGAGCAATTCTTTTGATTTCAAATTGTATTTATCAACCAGTACTAGGTTTTCAATGGATGTTAAATGTTATATTAAAGCAAGAATTGCTGAAAATTCTTCACTAATATTAATGCAGAGATACTCTGTTTGAAAGAATGGGAAATTCTGTGGCAATGTTAGTATTGAACTTGTTGAACCAAGAGTAAGATTTTTATTGGGGTTTAAGTATAACGTTGTTGTAAACTTTATTCACTGGATTTGAAGAAAACAAGATAAAATCAGGTATCCTAAGACCAATGTCAGTTCTTCTGTTGTATTACCCCTTTGTATTCGTATTACTAAAATAATGATTACATTATTACCACGAATACATTATTACCAAAGCTAGTTGTTAAAGAGATGATCGAGATTGCCAAGAAATCTGTGCGATCCTTAATGCTATGTGCGATCCTTAACTCTATTTAAACCGAGAATGTGGTTTTAGATTTTTTAGAGATATGTTTCAAAAACTTTTCAGAAGATTTTTCGGGGAATGTTTGCTACTGCATTAAATATCCATACTAAATACTCTGTGCATAGTCGTTTGTAAGTGTCAACGAATTCAGAACTATGCTGAGGTAGATTTTTAAATTTAAGCTAAATTTTTAAATTTAGCAAAAAGAAAAGTTGAAATTTTAAAATTAATATTGTATGATTTTTGTGTTAGTGATTGGAGTGACAATAACAATGATAGGAATAAAATCTACAAATAGTACTTTTTATATTTGAAAATTATAATTAATATTGAAGTAAGGAGTAAGCTAACAGTTGAAATGAATGTTACAATATATGGTTTGAAAATTACCTTCATCTTCCAACTTCAATTTCACTTGGTGCAATAATATGTTGATATTCCAATGCAAAAACTAGCACTGGTTGTAATAGCTTGATATTTGTTTTATGAGCATGTTATAAAGCAGTATATTTGAGCAGAAAATTGCTTTGAATTCATCTTGCCATTTTGGAGGAGGGGGCAGGGGATTGATACAAAAGAGTATTTCACTTTTATAAAATGCTTAGGCTGCTAGGTTTATAGTACAACATTTAGCATTTGTATGAAATTATTGTCCGTTTCTCTTCATTGATAAGAAATTAAAACGTATATGTAATGATTAATCAATATATATGTGTGTACTTAAATTAGGACTTCGTAGTTGTGATATTGTCTTGATTTGAGAACATGGATGTCTGATGAATTGTTGATAAATCTTAAACTTTAAATGGCATGTAGAACATTTGGTTATCAAATTGTTCTTGCATTCACCTCAAAACTTTAAAAATCAACCACAATCTTCAAGCATTACAACAAACTAAGCAAATCAAAACTTGGGTATAGTTTTGAATAAAGATTCTCCTTCTCTTGTTAATTTTTCTTTGTATATGTGCAGGAAGTGTAATGACAAATGCAATCTGCTACCTTTCACTACACTGCTGTTTTCATAATTGTTAATGGGATATTTAGTGATGCTGTAGAGTACATGTGTAGCCAGTAATTTGATGCTTGTAGAGTGTCTTCAAGTGGGCGTTTGCATTATGCTAGTATTTTTCTTTCTAGTAGACAGTTAATTTCTATGTCATTGTTGTCTCTGCTTTTGTTGTTTTTGCCATGATCCGATAACCCAATTTTTTTATAAATGTAAGCTTAGCAATTTTTTAAGTTGGATATCATATGCAAGTAACACTAGGTTTTTAATATATGAAGGAAGTTGTGACATCAACAAACAATATTTAAGTTGTCGAAAATTGTCAAAATTTTCTTTAGTAAATTGGTTTGTTCGTATTAGAATCACTTATTCTTGTTTAGTCTTGTTTTTGTATTTATCACCTTATTTTAATAAGTAACGTGATATTTTACTGACTAATTTGTTGCAATATCAATGTGGCAGCAAATAGTAATATTAACCTTTTGTAATATATAAATTCTTTGCCTAACTTTTAATTATTGGTTGCACTTCAGTTTTCAATTAGAATGTTATATTTTCAACTCTTCAAAGTTAAGAAATTCAAATGTTTGTATTTCTTCCAATTGTCAAAAAGGAGCTTCTTTGTGGGTTACTGCAGATATGACTGCAATAATTGTACTAAGAGTGCTCTTGCCTATTTAAGTGGTGATATTTTCTTATTATAATGACTTCATTCAATATTTATCCATAAAATGTTGCTTCTTGTGTAATGTTGAATTCATAAATTTGTGGGCAAAAGATTTTGAATACCATCTGTTGTGGCCTTTTATTTTCTTATGCACTTACTTTTTTAGTACATTGACCTTATTGTTTGAATTTCCTGTTTCTTTTGACAAAGAACAATGTGAGGTTTTTGTCTATTTATGAAAAGACTAATGTGTTTCATAGTTGTAATGAATTTCCACACAAATTGGTGTTTGCTTACATTTTTCATAGAATTATTTGGTTGTCATAGTGTAAAAGTGAATATATTGAGGAGTTCCAATTACCCAATTCAAGCACATATACCATTCGTTTTATGTGCGTAGCTGATGCTTTAGTACAGTAAACCCTCATTAACACAGATTCCAAGGGACCAAAATAATCAGAGTTGGTGTTATAAAACTTCGTCTTTTCCCATTGTTCTACTTTGTGTTCATGTTCTACTCTGTGTTCACAGTGAATAGTGATTGTATTTTTACAGAATGTGTTAAACGTCCCTCATTGCATAAGTCCTCCTAAAGTGAATATGTAGAACATTTCTGCAGTGACATCTCACACATATAATTTTAGAATGCTAGTATTTTAAGATATGTCCCAACATTCCAAGCCGTTTGTCAACCATATGGAATTTCGTGGCTTGGATGATTTCTGTATAAGTTTCAGTTGTAAATATTAAAATTATGTTGTGCACTTTCTAAAAAGAATCTGAGTATTTGTTGAGTAATTACGCCGAGAGGAAGAGAAGTTTCAATATTTTGAGTATTCTCACTAGTTTTAATTGTTAGTGAATTTTTTTTTCTGTTGTGGTAGCACGAAATTTCCACACACAGTGTTCCTATATGCACAGAAATTGGGATAGCAAGGTTGCTATATGAATTTGAAGTGCTTCATAAATTATCATTTTCCCATAGAATACATAAATCTACTTGCTTAAGCATCAAGAAAATCACACAATGATAGAAACCCAAGAATTCATTTGAATGATGAGTTAATGCAACAGAATTGGCATTCTTTGGTTCAGTCCATAATGTTTTTGTAGAGTAGTATTTTGTATTACTTGTGGTATATCAATGTAAATGTACAAATGTTACAGCTTGTAACAGTGTACCTATGTTTATAAATATACTAGCAAAATACTCAGCATTGCCTAAGCGTCTTCATATCCAATCCTTGTGAAAGAGGAAAAATAACAATTTTATGTGAACCAAGATGTTTAAGATTATTACTTTTAATGTAATTGGTTCCAATTTTAATAAAATACTATTTTTTTTATTTTATTTTATAGTACATTGCTATTACATTAACCAATTTTATCGTACACAATGCTACTGTCCTCAGGGTAAACTATTAGATAAAAAAACCTGCAGCACTGGTACTAGCCTTTGGCAGAATATATTAGGAACCTATCTGCTCTTAATGACAGGCCAAAAATAATGATCATGGAGCATTGCCAACATATTTCTTAAATTATGTATTTTCCGCAATTATGTTGTATTAATTTTTACCAAACTTTGCAATGACACTATGACAATCGTAAAGAAGAGCCTGTAAAAATTTCGCATCTCTTCATACACTACTTTGTGTTGTAGTGATGTTGGTTACACATCGTCAAATTGACTTTTACTCGTGCATATTAGAGCCCAATTGATATTTTGCTTAAATTGTATATTACTTAAAAAATGCTAACCAAGTATCCTATGTGGATTTAATTGTGCATTGCCTTTAGTTATTTAACATCAAGAAATTATTTATGTCTACACCAATAGTGTGTATATCAATACATAGAAATAAAAGTTCAATGGGATGGGAGCATTTTTATTTCTGCAAAAGGAGTGTTAAAGGATTTAAGGTAACGACTGACACATGGTTGAAGGTTTTTGAAGATCTTAGTAAATGAATATAATTTTGCCTTTTAAAAAGTGTACATTGAAATAAACGCCCAATGTCCAATTTTTGTAATTCAAAAGGCGTTCTACTAGTTACATTGTACTTTTAATTCCTGAACTCAAATGGTAAATGTAGTCTAAGAACAATATATTAAAAACACGTGATTGTTTGATTTGTAGAAAGATTCGAGGCGTTGTTCATGAATTTCAGTAATTGATTTTCAGCAATATTTTATTGAGCTTGTAACAATCTTATTGGAGCAAACGTAAACAGCCAATATATGAAATCTTACGTAAATCGTTGACAGTGCCGTAATCTACTTTTCTGTCTTTACGTTCTTAAATTGATGGTGGTGTGGTCTTGTTTCTTCTTGAATCAGGAAGAGAAATATGTATATGTAAAGAAATATTTAGGAAGACATTTGCGATTTTATCGTGGTGGAGGAATATACCTTAATGATAACATTTTATTTCGAAGAGCTTTTTCCTATAATGCTCAACAATCATGTTTTAATGTGATGTGTAACTAGCAGTATAGCTACACATTCCTCCACATGGGTGATTTACTGAAGATAGTTGTCAGAAAATTTTGAAATACAAACGACACCCGAAAAAGACGCTTTGCAGGGTCAAAAGCAGTATGTAACAAGATCTCGTCGGCTCCAAGATATCCGAGCTTAAGCTGCGTCATCTAATTGGCCACATATCGAAAAACATTCATTTTGATAATTTCTGGAATGGCTCAGGAATTAAACGAGATATGAACAGTGAGATGGGAGAAGGGATTTCGTTGATTGTTTTTAAAGTTCTGAGCCATAAATGGAATATCAATGCTATTTTGAAGTCTGGATGGAATGGAAGTTATTGTCGCATAATATTTTATTATTTTAATTGCGACGTTGTGGGTTTTACTGAAGAGGAAACCAATACTTGATTCACATTGGATTGGTATGATAACTGATTAATGCGAAATAAATTAAAGATATTGTGACTCATGCAAATGAGAAACTGAGACAAGAGTTTATTGGCGTCACTGTGTGAAATTTGCAGAGGTTGGAAAAACGTGCTGAGAATGCATTCTTTGAGCGCATTGATTTGACCGACGCGTTGACATTGCATGTCTGAGTACTAGCAGAAGTGTGAACCATGTGCCAAGAGATTATGCCTTGGATGTACTGACGTGCTTGCCTGCGCTCTTGTCCAGGCAGCGATTTGCCATCGGGTCTGCCTCCTGCCGGGGTTGCACGGGACCAGAGGGCGCCCGCCAGGCCGTACCAGCTGCGCTCATCCACCGCGGCTGCCACCGCTGCAGCAGCCGCCGCCACCGCCACCGCCGCTCCTGCTGCAGCCTCGGCCACCGCCGGGCGCGTCTTGACAGACAGCCAAGTCGACCCCCTCGCCTCGCCCGCCGATCAGCTGCAGACGCAACTGCCAGCCCAGGCGGCGCCCTACCGCCACCATCACCACCGACTGCAACAAGTCCAAGGACCGTTGAGCTCCTGCCTGCCCATGCACACGGTGCAAAACCACTTTCCGCGAGGGAATGAGCAGCGCATTCAGCACCAGGGGCCGGGCGCGGCCAAACTAAGGCCGCTGTTGCCGGCTCCGGCGTTCACGGAAGAGATTCGCGGAGAGATGCAGGCCCTGGAGCTGCCGTACAAGTGCCAGCACTGCGACATGTCGTTCACGGAGATGGGCCAGCTGCAGCTCCACCGGCGAGCGCACACGCGGGAGCGGCCGTTCCGATGCGACTCGTGCGACTCGTCGTTCACACAGAAGCACTCGCTGGTGACGCACAAGCGCATCCACTCGGTGGACTCGCGTTACCGCTGCAGCGCCTGCTCCAAGACCTTCGGCCGCAGCGGCGACCTGCTCATTCACAGGCGGCTCGTCTGCAGGGCGGCCCTGGGACTGTCCAAGTGCAGCGCCTAGCGGGGACGAAACGCCTAGCGTTTCGCTGTCTCTTTAAGGATATGTAGTGCACAAAGAACAAGACTTTCATGCGATCTATTCCGTTTACGATGTCTGATGGCAATTTTGAATTTAACGGCATGAAATACAGAAATGGAATTCATTCAATATAGATGCAAAGCAAAACCGATGCTCTGGGGCTACCGTATTTCATTCAAGACAACTTCCTACTCAGTGCAGGACTGAAACTGATGTGGACATTTTATTTCTATGGAAGGTCAAAGTAGTTTCATTTCACTAACTACCTATTTATATTGTGTTGATAACAGTTGGAAATTTAATGAAATGAAATTCAGAAAGATCAAGACATTCGTTCAATGTAGATGCAAAGCAAATGCAAACTGTTCCTGTAGGGCTGTTGTGCTGCTTTCAAGATCACGTCCTGTGGATGACAACGGGCAGAACTGAAACTGACGTGGACATTTTATTTCTATGGGAGATCAATGAAGTTTCATTTCAGTAATAATCCAATTCCTCTGCCTATGTTGATGACAGTTGGGAATTCAATGAAATGCAATACAGAAAGAAAAAAGACAATCTAGATACAAAACCAAATCAACTGTTTTTAAAGATGTCTAGACGTAATTTGATACTTCATCATTATTATTGGACTTCAACGTATTTCCATTAAGAATTCACGAACGTCTCCCAGCCTCGGTGCTGATCACTGCCCCTGACGTCTTGGAGCATCTGTGTCAGCCTCTCTCCTTCGCATTACTGAGGTCCGTAGACCCATTTCTGTGTACCTATGTACTTACGTTTGATTAATGCACTTTAGCAAATGCTTTTAGAAGTTTCATTATAGAACTTATTCATTTTTTTAAACAGTGTAGCTTTGTTAGCATTGTTTGTAATAAAGGCCTTTGATGTCAGTTGGATGTTGTAGAAGCTATGGTGCATAATGTAATTAAAATATTGATTGTATGTTATTTCACATAGCCATGTCGAAAATGGTTCATTTGGGTCTCCAACTTCGAGTATCCGTTGAATGGTTCAAAAAAGCACGGGCTGTCAGAATCCCCGAATGAGCCAAGGAATACAAACTCTTGCTGCAAGACGAGGGCTCAATGCTAAGGCCCGAAATTCTACCAATGTGTACTGAAATGATTATATATTGTAGTAAATTGGTTTTCTATTTTCTGTAAATACGGCCATAAGCATAATACAAATAACTGTTAATAATTTTACCACCTTGTACTTACTCTGTATCCTCAAGAAGACTGCACGAAGTAGTAATTTGACGGAAAAACGTTACCGTACTTGCCATATTGTGACACTCGTTAGTGTAATGCATATAAACAAACGTTTTTGATTTGGTGGGGAAGTTTGTCTAATAATTCCTGAAGTGTCAGAATGTATTTTTAATAATTATTAGATGTGTTATTTGTTGGGTTTTGTATATAATCCAAAGTACATTTGTTGGTTAGTTTTTACATAGTTTACACATGTGTAATGTTCGATAATATCAATTAAGCTATAACTTAATTATAGCACGATATCGGTTAAGTTAATACGGAGTTTTTGCGCGGCGAAGCGTTACAACAATCAACAGTGCTATCGGTCTTGTGCGCATTCGCAGTTCGAATTTGGCGTCATTTTTGTACCTCTGTGCACACGCAGAAGGTAGAGATTGCTGTCAATTGCTCTACGCTATGCCGTGAAAAAAGCCCCCCAAAACGGCATAAATCTTCCAAGGAACGCTTAATTGATACATGTTTTTTTTTTTGTTTGGTTAGCGAACTCTGCCCAAATCTTCTGTAAGCTTGATTGTAGTACAGTGATTTTAATTTCACTCTTTGATGCAAAGTGTTATTTCGTCATTGCTCTTGTAAGTACGAACATAAATGGATAAAGTCATTTTATACTCAAAATAATTATTTTTTCTTGAACCGCGCATGTTAATAAACAGTTACATTTGTTACCCATAAGTTCAGTTAAGGTAGGTACCGATTCTGAGAAGTTCTTTGCTTCTTAGAGTGTACATAATTCATTTTTTCGAAAAAAGAAAGCGTACATAGAAGGCTTTGCAGGTACAACGATTGTTTAAAGTCTGCTTCCACTGCCCAGGAAAAGTGCAGGGTCACTACGTGGGAAGTGGCAGTAGGTTTTCCCCTTCATTGATGGGCCGAGTTATTTTCTGGAAGGATATTTCCACGGTGGTGAATCCCTTTATACAACCGTTGTGAAAGGTGCTTGCGTGTAAATGAATTAGCGAGTTCGCGGAGATGGAAAATTTCTCGTTTCAATTAATGAATCCCACTCACGAGAAAGAAAATTCCTCTGAAGCAAAGTCTTCTATAGCTAGGAAACGTAAAAGCGGGTATCTTCCATGAGAAATGAGAACGACTACACAGGAGTCCCAGACTAGGCGATAAAAACACCTCTATCGTAATCTACGTCTACGGTCTTTTTGTTTTTGCACCTTATAAAGAAACATCGTTACGAAGATACAAGCAATTCTTTCTTGCTACCATGCTCCGTTATCGTTTTAACCGACTGTTCTTGTCCTGCTTAAGTGGCTCATGGCATCAATTGCTGTCACTGCAGTGTCTGTGACAGCAATTGATGCCCTGAGCTCTGAGTCGTAGGTTTTCACTTCCAACGATGGCAGAATTTTCGATACTAGCTACATAGCTTGATTGAGCTCAATCTGTCTGGAGAAAAGTTTTTGCGACCGGCTGCTCTGATCAGTAGTTTTCCATTATTTTTTTTTTTTTTCGATCGACACAAGGCGAATACCGGATCACTACTTTAAAAAACGGGCAACACCGCGATTTTTCTTTCCTCTTCCTTGTCTATCTTCACCCCCTTACTTACACCCGCTTTCATGCACTGTCCCGGTCCGGCAATATTTATGCTATGAAATTTATTTCTTGGACGAAAATAAATTGTTTTCTCCTTGGACCATAAAAATGCAATGTTGGAGCTGTGTGAGGGTAGGTGTTTGAAGTGAAAACGCAACCCACCCTTTGCGCTAATACGTACAAAAGTTATTATTAGGTAGAATCCCTTGAAATCAGAATTACAGAAATCAGAATCAGGCTACTTCATCACAAGCACCCTACGTTATTTTGCCTTACACAAATTGCAGATTGTGTATACAGACTAATTTCATAAGCAGAACCTGTAGAAAATCCTACATCTCAGATGTTTAAAGCCAAAAGGGGTTTACCTCTGAGAGTGATCAAATGCTGATGAAAAAATGCTCTTTTGAATTGCGTGTTTTATGAACAGAAAACTCCTATTCGTAACAAAATTGTGTATTAACAATATTTTTTTTTTACTTTTGGTGGCGGTTTTCGAGTAGATTGAATAGAAAATGAGGCAACGCCAAATAGTGTGAAATGTTTTACGACAAAAGGTTTTATGCAGGTTTTATAAATGTAAATATGTTCGAAAGGCAGTAAACAACTGTATTTCGATAAAATTGTTTTGAAATTTGGATTCATACTATTTAATTTGGTTACTCAGTACTTTGATTTCATTTAGTTACAACATACCTAAAAAATAACACCTCAGAGGTTGTGGGTAGTGCCTTTTTTATTACAGATAGACTGCAACTGAGAAGAATTTGAAATGTATTGAATATTGTGACTAGGTTGTTAGAATGCAGGTGTTAAACTTGTTTTGAATGCATGACGATATTCTCATTACTTGAATTTAAGCATCTGTTGAATTGCTTGTAAACTATTAAAATGTACGTTTTCGTAAAAAAATATAGTTATTTATGCAGAAAAAACAAGTTTTTATTATATTATTCTTTGTTTCATCAGTTATGGTGAAAAAGTGTCCCGGTCTGGCAAATTATATCGCTGTCGGTTACTCTTAACAGGCTCTTTGTAAATTTGAAGCAGTCCCTTCGGGAGTTGAAATTTTCACGTTCGAAATCGTGTTTCGCGCTATTTATATTGCGTCGTCGGTCATTTTACGTCATTGTAACTGTACTGATGTAGTATATCGTTCCCTCCAAATTGGCGTATTCCCACGAGGTGGTGCCATTTTCTGGCGTATGCCACTCACGCGAAGTTGTATTATCGCTTCACTAATAGGAAACTCCTAATGTAAACAAATATGTTTGCATGCATGTGTTTGGGTGTTTCTGAATGTTGTCTGCCGTTGAGTTTCTGCCCCGTAAGATTTTTTAAAACCTTTTCCTGTATCGGCTGGAAAATTAAGCGACGGGAGCATTGCTGCAGTAGGCAAAGGAGTCCCTTGTATTCAGTACGCGTGATGTTGGGCGGTAGGCTTGCCCTGCCAGCGATCCCTCTGAGCGCGCCGAGACGCGAGGTTTCGGCGCAGAGGCTGCTCGGGATTCGCTCTGCGAAGCCCTTCTTCGTTTAAGACCAGGGTTGTCCAATTGGCGGTTCAGGAGGCGTGGGTCAGTGCATCAGCTGATGACACTACAGTACCTCTGACCGGGAGGTCCTAGGTTCGAGTCGTGACAGTGACAAGATTTTCGTCACAAGCTTGTCAGCTAAATCGAATTCAATTGTTGCCTGGAGGAGAATTCTAGCGGTCGACTATTCTGATCTGTGGTTTTCCCGATCAACACCAGGCGAACGCCGGAGCAGTACCCTATCAAACGGTCCATGGACCGCGCGCAATCTTTCCTACCTCTTCCTTGACCTAACCTCATCCATTACCCACACTTACACTAACATGCACTACACTGCCGGGAGACTGGTCGGGAGCTTACAGCTTGTCCCGACTGGTGCGGTGCCCCGCTGGTGGTAGATGCCTGGTTGGGGGAAACCCTGCTAGCCGATGGTAGGTCGGACCGGATTTCGCCATTAGCGGGGGAAGATCACAGCCACCTCCCGAGAGAAAAACATGCACTACACTTACGGTACTAATGGCCTTAGTAGCCTATAGCACGCACTCTGCGGGAGTCAACAAACCCGTTCTTTAAAAAATATGTGAAATATAGATTTAAGGATTTTGTTAGTAGTAAATTCAGAATCACCTCACTGCGTTATGTAAGGGACGGACTGATATCACGCATGGTTCCATTGTCCTTACTTCCCTAGTGCCGAGGTCAACTATACGGGGAAGTCAGGTGTGGATCGCCGGAGTGATGAAAATATGGGCCGCAACCATATTAAAGGTGTTAGTTGTGGCCCTTGAGATCTTGCCAAATTTATATCCCTGTTTTAGAATGTCTGGAGGCGCTTCTCTAAATTAGAATGTCTGCAGGCGCTATCTAAATTACGTAACGCCAAAGAGGGGGGGGGGGTTGATCCGGGTAACCGAAATCGCAAAGGCACTAGTGTTGTGGCGATCTCTGCTCGAAGTATGGCGAATACCGCCTCGTGCATGGATGTATTTGTGATCATCCTTTCACCCTTCATCATCCTATTGCTTCATTAAAGAATTATTAATAATTTCCTCCGCGAGTAGGAGGCCCTTGCCCTTAGCCGCTGTGTTGGTCGGTGTCGGATCTTATCCAGTAGGGAAAGATCACCTCCCGCGGAAAACACGGGACTGCTCGCACGTGACTAATGACCTTAGCAGTTGACGCGCCCGGAATCACTAATCAAGCAATCAATTCTGCAAGGTTTGAGACGACTGCTTACGGCTGTTGTTGGGGGCCTGTCTTAAGATTCCCTATTCACCCCACCCCTCAGTATAAGTGTGACTTTCCTTCAGTGCAGGAGGCCATTAGAAACACGGATTATGATTAACGACTTTTGCTCCTCGCTGCAACAGCACCGCTTGATGATATCCACGACCAGGTGTGGATTATAGCTTTCTTTACCCTAGAAAGAACAAAGAGGGTGTAAATAATGTGTTAAATATTCTTTTTCCCTTGATAAACTGTTTGAAGCGGTATGTGAGGATCCTTTTTACACTTTCCTTCATGTGATTAATCATAAAATATTAATACATTATTTTGATATAATTTTATCAATAAGATGTAGAACAAAAGGTCTACTAAATTAAAGGATTGAGCTTTTCAAAGACAATGAGACTGAGGGCATGAATGTTTCAAAACACAATTCCTGCTAAAAAAAAATGTACTACCTGCATTTTATAAGAAGAAATGATCAGAGAATAATGTAAGACATTAAAATTGTAAAAAATTATTTACATTAATTTTTTAACTTTCGCATGTTTATTAAACGAAAGTAAATTATAATCAACGAAAATATTTTTTCGTCATCTGTCACATAGTCATAGATTGAAATGATTACCGCGTGCATTTGTTGCTCCTCCCCGCCCTTTCCTATGCATTCTAAAAATTGTACGTTGGTTTATGGTTATTAAATAGAAATAAAGTAAAAGAAGTCAAAAACAGATGTTTATTTTATCTCGTCTTCTGTCACATCTGCTAATAAATGCCGCGTGGAGTGTTTGCTCTTTCTCTTGGACTTGCGTGCTAAATGTTTTCGATTGGACATTCTATGCTCAAGTAAGCGAGTTTTTGTAAAAGTGCGTCTGTGGGTTGCGTCACCAGGAACGCCGCGCGGCAACATCCAAGTGTAGCAGTTACATTGGTCGTGGGTTGCCTGGCTTTCCGGGCGCTGCCACTCGAGCTACTGCGTCCAGTGGTGTCTGAGAGAAGTGGCTAGGCGATGGGACTTTCACCCCGACGGGTCGTGAGGCGCTTTGCTCTTGATTCGTGTTGGCTTGTCTAGTTGCGAACGTACTCAGTGCGTGAATTGATGACCCTGCAGGGTCTCTGACCAAGAGGTCCTGAGATTTCACTCTCGAAGGTGGCACATTTTCGTCGCTGTCTAAATAACTAGGTCGAATTCAGCAGCCGACTGCTCTGATCGGTAGTTTTTTTTTTTATCAACACCAGGCGAATGCCGTAGCAGCACCCTAACAAACGGCACGCCATCTTTTCTTCTTTTTCCTTGTATCATCCGTTACACTCACATCCACTACAGGCCACTACTACACTACCACAAGCCGACATAGGTCGGCGCCGGCTGTCGACAGCTTGCGGAGGAAGATCACCGTCGTCTTCCACGATAAAACATGCACTACACTTAACGCTAATGACCTTGGAATGTGACGCGCCCGGAATCACTAATCAATCAAAACCAGTCTTGGTTCTTAGTAGACGTCACAGTCCGCTATAAAAAGTGACTGTGTCTGACCTTCAAAGCTCTGCTCGGGGAGCTTTATCCGGGTCGGGTACGGGCAGTTCGTAACTCCACAACACTCATTGGCGGAGATGTACGTGTTCGTTTTCAACGGGAATACGGTGGACGGTTCCTATCGTTGGGTGGCTCCATGAAGGGGCAGGCAAGAGCAGTTGCAGAGGGCGCCTGCCCGCTTCGCCTGAGCTTTAACCGCGCCCGGTGGCGACGGCGCCTTGGTTCACAGGAGGCGCGCCGCTCTCTCCGCTCGACGACAAGGCCATGTCCGTCGTCAACCTCTTGGTCCTCCAGCGGCACGACTCTCAGCCGCCGCCGCCACCGCACCTCCCTCTGCGGCTGGACTTCCCCGAAGCCGGCGCGGTCCGGCCGGCGCGCGCTCGGCCGCAGCCGCCCCGGCACGAGTGGCGGTACGCGTGCCGCGTGTGCCGCAAGCCGTTCCGCACGCCCGCGCTGGTTGCGCGCCACATGCGCACGCACACGGGCGAGCGGCCGTACGCGTGCGCCGAGTGCGGCTTCACCTTCAAGGAGATGTCGCACCTGCGCGTGCACGCCCGCAAGCACGCGCTGCGCGGAGGCGGCGGCGCCGGAGGCGGCGGGCTGGCCCCGCGGAGGTGCGACGCGTGCGGGGGCGTGTTCCGGCGCGAGGAGCACTTCAAGCAGCACCGCTGCTGCGGACGGGCCCTGGCCGCGGTGCATGGACGCTGAGGACGCCTGGAGCACCAGTCACTTCGGATGCCCGAATGCGTCGCCAGAAATGATCAATGCAATGCTCTTAAAATGTTCTTAAAATATCATAAAAGAGAAGAGAAATGACGTAATAATGTGATCGAAACCAGTTCGCATGAGCAAGTCAAGCTGTTGGATACGTTACTGGTGTAATCGAGACTGCTTCTATTCGTTCAAGAGAAGTTCAAGTTACATTTATGTCCGAAACAAGGGGCCATCTCAGCATTTGCTCGAGGATCAGGGAAACTGATCGAGATGGGGGTCATTGACCCAGAAGCTGAAGTACAGTACTAATGGTTCAATACTGGAGTCACAAGTGTTATTAATGTAGCCTTACAAGTTGATTGAATTACTTTTTCCCACCTTTCTACGTGGCTAAAGAATCCGACTTGCAACTTCAGAAGATATTCATGGAGTAAGGATAGATATGCTGAAAGTTACTTTTGTGAAAGCACACACTTCAAATTTATTCTCATCATAAACGCCAAACATAAAATTTAATGAAATTTGCTGTGTCCTTCGTTGTTCGAATTCTTTGTATATAAACGGCACACGTATTTCAAATATGACAAACTCAAAAATCGTCTTTTTTCGATAAGTGAATCGTTTAACAATAGTTAATTTTTATTGAAAAGAAATCGTTGATTTTTATAGAAAAGAAATCGTGAATATATGTAGTTTAAAAGACGGTCACTCTTGTAGAGGGTCAGTTTTTATTATTTTTTGGACGCGAGACTCCTTAATATAAACACGATCCCAGGTAAAATTAGTTTTTATGTTGTCTCTCTTTCGAAATACGTGTGAGAGATAATCTCCGTGAATTACGTTATTGATGGTCTAATTTTCACTTCTGCTTCTTCAGATGCCCACTTGGGGAGTGAGGGAAAGTAGTGGTATAAAGTGCTGTTATCCCACCTCTTTTACGCAGCGCCTGCTCCGAAAATCGATTTTATGAACGTTTCTTTTAATTGTCGTAATTTCACTCTAGCTTTAAGCACTTTTTAAAACTACCTTTGAAAACATTTCCTCGAGTAGTTATTCAAACGTTTTGTTGTAAATAATATTTTTAAATCTCTTACAAAGAGTTTTTAATAATTGGTGGTTATAAAGAAGTTTATACTTTTTTCTTGACAATGAGAAAGCTTATTTTAGATTTATGATTACTCAGGTATAGTTTTTATTATTTTTAGATAACTTTTGTACGATGAACAATCTTTTTATGAAAATCAAGTGACTGTTCAATAACAAAATCTATAAATCATTTTTCCTCTTCGCTGATTGCAATATTTTGGTGCCATTGTTAAATCGTTCTATATTTGTGAATGAAATTAGTGTTCCTTTCTGACGAACGTTTAAGCAGTCCATTCTTCACTGTCCTAACGAATGGGGGACAAAATTCGCTGAGGGACTGGCATAATTGCGAGATGCAATATCGTGTACTTTTGTCCCTTTCGTGCAGTGTTTCTGCACTCTGCAACAGGGATCTTGGGAATGGAACATAGCTTATTATGCAAAATCGCATTTGGCAGTTGTGTCAACTCAAGTATTCTCGGTCCCTGAAACTCATAATTTTAGAGAGAAGCGTGTGCTTCACTCGCGCGACTGCTGTGACAAATATGTGCCGTGAACGGAAATATCACTTTAGGCGTTAAAATAGAGTATTTGATGATTTTGAACAGAACTGAATTTTTCCATCTCCTTCCAGGCCCCATTAAATGTTTGGAGAGCTTGGTGCTTGAAATCACCTCAAACTGGACGAATAAGTTTAAAATCAGAAGTAGACATTTTTGAATAGTTGGCAGAATTATTGTTTGAACGCTTGTTCCAAATTCATTTGTTCATCTTCCGAACATGACAAGTTTCAAACTTGACAACCTCTGTCCTTCAGTGGTTTTCAGATTGCACAGTAACGTTTCCAATTCATTTTGTGACGACGGGCTATAGTCCACGAATGTTTGTTAGGTTCTGTGTTATTATTTCCCAGTTGGTTTTTGCCGTAAACACTTAAATGTTTGTTCTCACATACTGCACAGTTTGGTAATAAGATTTTCGTGTATTTGAAGTAGTTGTTTATGATACAAGTGGTAAAAATGACGTTTTATTTTGCGCAATCCTAGTAATAAAATGAAATCATTTTTACCATGTATGTCATACACTATTTTTTAGACAGCCTTGCCGACTTTCCTTTTAATTCAAATAAACAAATTACTTAATTGGGTACCATGTTAAATTTAACATCAGTTGCAGTCGTTGAAACGCATTTTATTTGCATTCACAGTTTTATCTGAACATTTGAGCATCGTCTCATTTCTAGCTGTAGTGCTAAAAATTGAACTTCTGCAAGCTGCGCATGCCCGTGCTTTTACTAGTGGTTGTCTAAAAAGTATTTTTATACACGTTATGTTTATTACGTATTAGATTTTAATTGTCACTTCCCTTTGCACTTCATGAATGCATACTTTGGACTATATATTGTGCTTATTATATGACTGTACCTCACAGTTTTTATATTATGTTTCTGATACTGTCTCAATAAAGATTATCAGAAAACTAGTCTTAAAATCTGTTATCCTTATATCCAATACAATAGTATAGATCTAAGTGAATGTTAATGTTGTATTGGATAAACAATTCAATTGTTGCCCACATAGTCGTACTATAGACTTTCTCAAATACAGTTAAACCTCTCTTAAGCGACCATTTTTGATTCTGCGAAAAAGTTTTTAGGGGAGTGGTCGTTAAATGTGAAATCGTTTGTTTGTTTTTTTTTTACCGAAAATCGTTTCTTATTGCTAGACATGGGATTTTTACGAAAGTGCGTATTATATCAAAAGTTTATTGAACGCTTTCAGTAAAAGAACACGATTTTTGAAAATTGAAACACTCTTACTAAATTGTATTGAGCTTTTTTGACAAAAGTGCGCGTTCAGGATTATTTAGTATCATTAAGAAATAGTTATATATCCTTTTCTTGGGTGAAAATTATCGTTTAATTGTTTTGTTTTAGTATTCCAATAGTCTACCGGTAGCTGGTCATTTGGGAATGCATGGCACATTAGCTTAGAACCTTACTTTTCTCACACTTCTTTACACTTATAGTAGAGATGCTACAACAGCTCGTATATTCTCGCATTATTTCTAAAACTGCAATCTCCGAAACTTCTGAGTTGAACGAAAATAAGACCTGCGCCATTCTCTGAAGTGTTCCTGGGTCCGTGGAAGAAATTTGAAGAAATAATGGAGTTAATACGCGAGTTGTTTGAATACATTAAATTCCCTACTCACATATAAACCTATAACAAATACATATTCACATTCAGTACAATCACAAAATACTTGTCCATCGTACAGATGCGTATACACACATAAACATACCTACTATATACGTAGACAGTTATTCATTTTTTTAATACAGAAAAAATTTGGACTTTAAAACAGCTCTTTAAACTTCGGAATTAGTTCCCCACCCACTTTGACTTTTTTACATTACATTTTCACCGTAACTTTCTTCCTTTTACGTAGAAATCATTGCTGAGCTTTCTACTGATGATGAAAATGTCAATACCTGAACACTGCTGAGATATCTCCGACACCATCCGGTCTGCAAACCCGTCAATGCACGCTAAGGTACATCGAGGCGGCTGGATGGGCGGTGCAGTGGTTGGGGCGGAGAGGGACGAAATGAATTGTTCTTTCCTTTTTCCTGTCTAGTCCTATTAAAATGTGTCAGGTATTCACAGTTGGGGTTGGGATCGCTGTGTTTCCCAGCATGCGCGCGACGGGTGGTTTTTGCCTCCCAATTGATGCTCCGCCCATGATACGTTCGTTACTCATATTGACTAGAATCTGGCCAATGTAAATCCACCAATCAAAAAATAAAGAGTTATTTGAATAACCTTTTAAATATTTCCGTAAATACTTTCTATACAAAGGAGCCCCAATCGCATTCTTGTATTCTTTTATTTCTTTCATCCGGATGAAGAACTACTTGAATACTGTTGCAAGATGCATTCAGCTCTATGAACGTCCCGGTTAAATACGTTCCATACTTTTCGATTGTGAAAAAAGTACATTACTTTTTTTTCTTAAAAAAAAAATGTTATGATAGAAGTAGGTTCATTTGAATAGAAACCTCACATTTACATCACAAAGATAAGAGTACCTCCAGAGGTACAGCTTTAGCGACGGTAACAAATGCGAAACCTCTACAAAGCTAAAAAATGGACCATGGACCGCGCGCGATCTCCCCCCTCTCACTCTCTCTGTCTCACTCTCTCTGTCTCTCTCACTCTTTCTCTCTCTCTCTTTCTCTCTTTCTCTCTCTCTCTTTCTCTCTCTCTCTTTCTCTCTCACTCTTTCTCTCTCACTCTCTCACAAACACGCTCACACGTGCACTTCACTATCTTACGTATCGGGAGCTTAGGCCTTGTCCTGTCTGGGGCAGTGCCCAGCTGGTGGAGATACCTGGATGGGGGATCTCGCAAGCCGTCGTGTAGGTCCGCGCTAGCACTTGTGTTCCAATGGGGAAAGTAACATGCACTGTACCGGCGAACTGGAATCGATCTTCACTCCATGGGACGAATGATCATAATAGTTGACACATGACCAATAATCCCATCTTTGTAGGACCGATGACTATAGTAATTGACACATTCACAATCAATACTCCCTACTTCCCGGAACTGATGACCTCAGTTGTTGACCTCCCCGGAATTAATATTCACTTTCATGGAACTAATGGCAATAGTGTATTGCCCAGAATTGATATTCACACCGTGGATTTATCCATGGTCGACGCCCCTGTAATTAATATTTCCTCCTCAGGGTGTAATGACTATACTAGTCGCGCTTGGACTGAACGCGCGTCCCTCGTGGGGACAAAGACAATCGTGGTTGGCGCGCACGGAAGCAGTATTCCCGTCCTCAAGGAACTAATTGACAGTAGTTGACTCGCTTGGATCAAATATTTCCTTCCTCGT